GGGGGGCGGCGTCCGACCTCCCTGCGCAAGATGGCGGCGGCGGTGCGCGCCATGGGCAGCCTCACGCGGATCCCGGCCGCCGCCCGCCCCGGCCTCTGCCCCCGCGCCCTGCGCCTCCTCCGCGGTGAGCGCCGGCCCGGCCCCGCGTTGTGCCTCAGCGCTGTGTTCATCAGGATCTGTGACTGATTTATGCGCTTAACGAGTAATTCCCGTGGGCCGTGATTAATTCCCGTCATGGATTAGGATTCGGGGGTTAAATCCTATGATTGGTTAGGATTCGGGGATACTCCACATGATTGATTAGGATTCCTGTGATTGATGGAGAGGGGGAGGGTAGTGCCCATGACTGAGTAGGATTCGGGGGGCAGCGCCCATGATCAGTGCTTGATTTCCGTGATTCACGGGCTGAAGGTTAACCCCAGTCGTAATAACAGGGATTGACTTTTCGAGTCGCGGTCGCTCCCTGCCACGGGTTATGATTTGTGGCTAATCCCTGCGATTGACGAGGCTTCGTTTCGACGATGATTTGTGATTAATTTCCTGCGGCTGTCCGGTCCGGTCCGGGCGCAGGGATGCTCGTGCTCTGCTGTGGCCCCCCCCCGTGTTGCGGGAGTTGAAGCCTCCCCCAGAGCATCCCCTTCCCAGTTCAGGAAGCCTCAGAGATGCGTGGGGCTCATTGGGGTCAGCGTCTCAGACTGACCCCCCTCCCTAGATATCAATAGACCCACTCCCTCCTTTTCCAAAGGAGTTTTTCACCTTGGGGATGGGGACAGGAACAAGGCCGGGAGAGGGGTGGGGGCGTTTCCTTGGGGCTGAACGATGAGCAAATTCCTGCTTCTTGACTTCGTAGCGGGGGGAAGGCAACTTCAGCGACCAGCACGTGAGTTTGTCTGCAGAGAAATGGCCGGTCCGTGGCAGCCCTCTCTGTGGGCGTCTCTCCAGTCAAACAGAAGAGCAAAGCTTATGATGCTTAAATCTAATGGTTTAATCTCAGGGTCAAAACGAACTGCAGTCGGTATATTCACTTGCCGCTGATGAGAGATCACCAGTTTCCTTGGGCTTTTTAACCTGGGGGCTGGGTCCTTACAGTGGAACGTGTTGCTTTATCTCATGGTCGTTGTTCCAGTTCTTGGTGTCTGTTTGCATCGGTGCCAGAGGCTGGTCAGCGCTCGTCCTTGGCTGGTCATGGGATGCGATCGTTGGAGGGAGGTTTTTTGCTCCCTGTACGTGAAAAGTTGTGTAGTATGAAGGGACCTGGGTTTTGAAACAGCATTACAGCTCTAAATCAATCTAAATGTATGTGACCATGCAAACTATGGCAAGGAGCGCTAAAAAATAATGTGATGGGTGAATTGGCAGAAGCCGTATTGTATACTTGCATTTTTATTTTTTGCTTGTAGTGTCCTCGTTCTAATTGTTAATGCTGTCCCTTAAAATATGTAATGTTTCACCTTTACTCTCCCCATGCCCTGCCCCCATGATCATAGGAAAGTAGGGCTAGTAGAGACCTGTCAAAGGAAGACACTTTGACACAACCTGTGCTTGACAAACTCGTGTTGGCTGTTCTTTTATCACCTTATTAGCAGTGACGTACTTGGAAATTGCTTTATAATTTGTTCCCCCCTCTTTCTCAGAGCCGAGTGAGGTCGATTGGTTTATAACTTTCTGGGTCCTCCTTTTTGTTAGCTGATTTTGTTGGGGTTTTTTTGAGAGAGGCATGCCCTGCAAGAGCAAAAAAGTGCTTTCCGAGCACCAGCAGCCACGTTGAATCAATGGCCTAGACCTGGTGAATGCACGTACGTGTCGTGGTGATGTGCAATCTCGAGGGACAGGCATGATGAGAGAAGATGGTCCCCAGCCAGACAGTGGTACCAGCAGCACAAGCCTTCTTACATGGCAGCCAGGATCAGCTGCAAATACATTGCTTAGTTTCTTCATAAGTTGCCTGTAGAAAGGGCTCCATCAGGAAAATCCAAGGATAACTGCTTCGAGGCAAAGGGATATGGGCTTAGCAGGCCCAACCAGACCATTAGTCCCATGCCCTCTGCCCTGCCACCGAAGCCTGATAAGTAGAGTTGAAGATATAAATAAGCATAATGAACTTAGGCTACAGCATCGACTGAGGGAAGCAGGGAATGAAGATTCAAGACCGGACCCTAGGTCCATCTTTAAGGCTCTTAGGACTTATCTGCAGAATAATTCAATGACACCCCCCCACCGATCATAGGAAAGTAGGGCTAGTAGAGACCTCGCGAGGTCATCTCCTCCACCTCCCAACTCAAGGCTGGGTTATCCGTGACCAAACCATCCCAGCCAAGTGCCTGTCTAACTTGCTTTTAAATATTTCCAGGGATGGAGACTCCACAGTTTCCCTAAGTAACTTGTTCCAGTGCTTGACCACTCTCGGTCAAAAATGATCCTCCAAATCTCCAACCTAACTTTCCTCTGCTGCAGCTTGAGGCCATTGCTCCTAGTCCATAAGGGGGATGGAAGTTTTGTCTGGAAATTGTTCTTTGTTCTTCATATGTCTTCCCCCCCCCCGGTCCGTCTTTGCCCAATAAAAGGTTCAAGATTTGTAAGGGTAGACAAAACACCAAGAAGAGCAGCTGATGTGATGAAAGCCGCATGGACTTTGTATCCATCCTCTCACACCCCAATTGCAAACAGACGGTTCCTTGAAAGTCCTGTATCTCGCATCTCTTGGTGTTTCAAGTGCAGCTGTGTGTGTAAGCAGCCCCCAGGAGCAGGGCTGCAAGTTTAGACAGCAGTCCGCCATGCTAAGCATCAGTTTTCATACTCCCTTCATACTCGGAGTAGCTCCAGAACTACAAGTGGGATCCTGTGACCCCAGGTGACTTCCTGCCCTGGGGGCAGGGGACTGCACACACAGATCTTCTGAGGTCCCTTCTAGCCCTAATGTCTATGAAATGGTCTTGTCCTGTAGAGCCACGGAGAGAGGCTGTTTCCACCTCAAGCAGCATGAAGTCCATGCGACTTAGGAAGCCTGAGTGGGGAAGTGTGGAAAGAGAGACATTGCAAAGCAAATAAAATAGGGCAGAAAATTTAAAAATTAAACAAAATGACAGACCACTCTATTAGGGTAAATGGGATGTTACTCATTCTGTAGTTTATTACAGGTGGTGCCTCACCAAAAAGGCACGATCCTACTTTGAAATGCGTGTGTGGACTCAGCGCTGTCCTAACTCTGATTTGTGCTGAGGGCGCCCTCTAATTAGTAATTTACAAGGTGGGTAGCAATCTTTCCCTCCCTAGTTCCTGTGTGCCTCAGTCTCCCTGTCCATGGGACCTTTTATGTTCAGAACCAAGTAACAGCCTGAGATCTGCATCTTTCTTTGCTTTGTGCCATTTCTGATAGGTTTTTCTGTGCCATCAAAATTTTAGTTAACTGTACTGAGAAACTCCTGCCCCAAGAGCTTGCAGTCTGTTTAAATAGCCAGCGTACAGAGGACTTGGCTGTGGTGACATGTATGGTGTCTTGTTCCAGATTTTTGGCTTTGTACCTTCTTACTGAAACTTGAAGGGAAAGTGAGAATGGGAAGCATGCGTCTTTTAAGAAAAGCTTAAGGGGCAGCGGCAAATGTCTATTAGACTGTTGAAATGGCAGAAGATTGGTTAATCTCTTCAGTTATTTGTCTACTTTTCAATCGAGTCTTTTTTCTTTTGAAATGTAGCTACATCTTAGAAATGTAGCTGTATTTGGTGAAGTCTGGAACGCTGCCGTATGTCATCGTGCAGACGTTTCATGCTCCATATAGCAGTGCACCTGTTTATGGCTCCTGTTATATTGCTGCCCTTCCTGTACTAAGGTTGACCTTAACACAGGCCCTCATATGAGGGTAGGAGGGGAATTGCTACCTGTTGTCCTTTGGTCAGCAGGAGTCAATATTTTTCCTTGCCCATCTCTTGTGCCTACAATGGGGCACTCTGTGGGCCCAAGTGAGGATATGCTACCAGGCAGCTCACAGCTGCCCTTATCTTAGGTATACACTGCCAAAGTGACACAAAGTAGGGCTGCATTTTTAGCTGAATGGCAAATGGATCCCTTCGTTCTCACACCTGCTCTAAGTTGGCTGTGTCTGGGGTGATGCTAGTCATGTGAATGCTTTACTTTTTGGAGATGAGGTGATTTCTAGGTG